CTGCACCGTTCGATATCCCCAAAAGAGTCGATGCTCCTTCGAGATCGCAGCCGAGTTACCTGCGCCACTTGGTGCCGCGTTATCGTCACGTGCACTTCTCGTTATTCGTTATTCGGTTGCAACGTTCTAGCGAGAGCTAAGTGATAGATGACAATGCCGCTGACGATCTGTCACAACGATAATTTCCTGGTAACGAACGTACAGGTAAATCTTTCGATGGCGCTTTCTGGGATTAGCGCAATCTAGGATAAGATTTGGCCATCAAAATAATATTGCTTTGTTTTCATAAAAGATTATTTAGGAAGTTCTTTCTTTCACTTTGATCGATTAGAGTATCAAATTTAATGTTTTATTGATGAATAATTTTAAGAATTTACATTGATACACTCAAGTCCCATTTTGCTCGATATCGAATTGTTTCGTTGTTCGATTTCTAAATCTAACTCAAGCTGAGTTTGAAGCGAGATATTGTATTTATTTTTTCTAATATAGAAATTCTTATTTAATTTAAATTAAGAGATTTATTTAATAATGGTCGATGAAAGTATTTTACAATGATCGATTTTTAAAATCCACAGATATGGAAATAATTATTTTTTTAAATAATTAATTTGGAAAAGCAAGTCGCTAAATTCTTTTCATGAGGGATTCTCTTCTTTTCACTTAGAATTTTTAAGTATTATAAATGGTACTTTTCAGTCAATTTTTCAGTTTTGCTAACGCTTAGAATATCGTGAATGTACCGTAAGACAGCGCGTCTAACTGTTCCTCTTGATTATTCAAGTTTAAACTGTGATTGACTTTAAATCTGTTTAGAAAAACGCTGACTATTATAACATCGTCGTAACTCTGTGTGTGTGTGTGTGTGTGTGTGTGTGTGTGTGTGTGTGTGTGTGGTGTGTGTGTGTGTGAGATGTAACTTACAACTTTGTAATATACGTACTGTATGACTACATTGTACTTTGTGTCCTAATTTGCTTTTGGACCGCCTAATGTGTGAGGTCTTCCAACTTTACAATATACGTGCTGTACGATTACATTGTATTTTACGTCCTAATTTGCTTTCGGACCACCTAAATTGAATTTTTATAAATAAAAATCATACGATTCATCGTATTCAAAATCATATTTAGAATAAGATACGAACGACCGTTAACTTCGTCAACAATTAATCAAAATCTTTTTTCGAATGCCATATGGCCTTATCGATTCGATAAATCTCGCGAGAGAATTATAAAAATTATGAGTCCCTTACGGGACTCGTGTCGCTATAGACGATGATTGTCATTGTTGATGGAGCACGATAAGAAATAAACATTTCTGCAATTGATGCATAAAGCCGGTTATATTATATGTATAAGATGCAGTGGATTGCAGGTTGCAGCTTGTAGCCAATCCGATGCATCAATTTTAAAAGTGACGCTTCGAGATTGGCCGGATGCAACAAATTTACAATCTGCAACTCGTGATCTGCGTCTGTAGAACCGGCTTAATATACCACAAGTGCGAATAAAATACTTACCGCAGGCGCACGTCAAATACATAGCAATTTGCGCTACGTAATGATACTAATTTCATCGATTCCATGGAATTAGAGTTATGCTGCACTAATGCTATATCCTTTCTGTGAGACCAATTGCATGAATTTTTTTTTTCTATTTAAGTTCATATGCACAGTTTCACGCGATTTAACTTTATACTTTATGACAAAATTGATTTGATACGCAAATGATTTTTGCTTTTATTCGTGCGTTGATTTCTTCAAAAGATTTCTCTCTTTATCTTCAAAATGCACTCTAGATACGTTGCATCAAAAGTGTAAAAAACACACAAAATTTGAGACTAGTTCACAATAAAACACTAAATACTTAAAAGTTTATTTCATGCCTTATTCAATATTTTTTAATTTTATTATTAATTTGAAAGCAAATATATAATTTTAGCATAATTGATTAACATAATACTGTATAATTTTAAGAAAATGGACTATAAAGCCTTTATTTAAAAACAGAATTGTTTTAAAAGCTGAAAGAGTTTTCTATCATTAAAAATAAATAAACTTATAATTAGATTACTCAAATTAAAAAAAAAAAATAATTAAATATAAAAGTGACTGTTTTGACGAAAAAAGTACCGAATATTCTTTACTATTTTTCTTATAGTAAAAAATTTTGTAAAAAAATACTTTTTTAAAATTATTTTTCATTTCATTATAAAGCAATGAGTAAAACAATAAAAATATTTATTAAATTACAATATAAAATATATGAGTTTGATTTTATTCCATATAGCAGACATTTTTAATGAATGATTTGAAACTTTTTTGGCAATGCATATCAATAAAGTCGATCATTTGAATAACTCACTGAAATAAAAAATACATTAAAATAAAAGAATAATTCTTTTGTTTACTTTTTATAAAAAAAAATAGATATATATAATGATTTACATGAAGAAATTTTCTACACAAAGTATAAAATGAGAATATTCCTCTATAAGCGAATTAAGCTTTTGTAAAGAATCCATCGCGAAACATTGTTGCCAAAGTATACTCACGATGTCTTCTGTACCTTTCACCTCTTCAATCTCTTTTGGCGTCCTTTGTATTAGCTCGCGCCAAACGCACCATTATCGCGTCATTCTCGAATCAAACACATGTCTCTGTTCCGGGATGCACGATGATCTTCAAGCTCGTTAACCGCGCGACGAGTGACGCTTTTAGCCAGCTGTCGCATACGTTGACTCTTGACTCGTGACTTTCTCACTGCAATTTGTATTATGCACGAGGATTCTGCGAGCAGTAGAGAGATGCATCGCCGACCGGGGAGAGGAGGAAGGAACGAAATAACGTTGATCTTTTTGAAGGATTGTAGTGCGTCAAGAGTGTGCTTGTGCATGCGTTCAGCCGGACTTGCATTCGCGGAAGTAACGGAACGAATCAAAGAGGAACTTATTAATCAATCTCGAGTGCAACCGCCACTTATTATTATTATGCGCACTATAATTGTTATATCCTGTTCGTTGCGGATCACTATCCGATGCCAATGTCGATCGCCAGTGCAAATAGGCCATCAAAAATATTACTCGCTTAGAATTTAGCCTCAATATTCGATTACTTTATTAAGCGATTCATTATGTGAAAGCGAACCCTTATCAACATACAGAATGTCATAATTCTTTAAGGTTCATTAAATATCTATCGCAAGAATTAATACGAAATATCGTATGCACTTTTGAAATGATAGGAGATAAAAGAAAAATCGAGGCTAATTGGAAGCTTAGTTTAATAGCTATTTCGAAATATTATTTTTTATCATGCACATAAATATTGTTTCACTCGTTGAAATAATTACTATTTCTCAGCAGAAATTGAAATCGAATTAACGAATGGAACAAGTAATAATTTTGCAAAAATAAAACTAATAAAAATAATAGTTGCATTAAGTAATACCTTTTAATCTTATCTTAAAAGCTTTCTAATTTGTCTGAAAATGTCTTAATCGCATCATGAGACTGTAATTACAAATTGCAATTAAAATTAAACAAAGAAAATGATTACGACACGTAATAAAACCGTTTTACATTTTTTCAAGAATTAACTAATTCTTTGTCGGATCAATGTTACGTATAAAATGACACACTGGAAGAAAAGATTGGCTGCAGCAAATTAGATAGTAAAATATGATATAGCATTTTTAATGATTGCTGCAATCAATTAAAAATTATGGCTATGCCATATTTAGCCAAGCTTTCCTTTCAGTGCAATTTTAGATGATTTGTTCACGACTTGTTCGCGACAACATTTGTAATTATTTCATTTGTTAAGTAAAACGTACATTTCATAATATAACATATTTCATTAAAAACTAGAAAAATTATTTTTTACAGAATTGCGTAAATGGAAAATCCGGTGTGAATCACCGATGCGTTAAATAAAATGTGTCGCAATCGATTTCGCGATGTGAAATTGCGTTAGCACTACACGAACAATATAATAATTATAAATTTATAAATGATTACATATATAATGGAACCGCGCGTGATAAAGAATTTGCTGATTTCGCCGTCATTAATTACACGGCACTACACTCACGGTAATTGCTAGCTATTTAACGCGCCGAAGAACCAAAACTTTTACTTGAAGAAGCCGCGTACGTTCTGGCAGGACATAATGGAATAGCTTTTATTGTGTAGCTCCAACTACGCAACATCGCACGCGCCAGCTGTCTTAATTATTTCAAAAGCGTTTCCCTTTGCATGCATTACATTTTTTATTTATTGTGACAAGAGAATAATATATAAAAAAATCGTTCTCTGTACAGATAAGATTGAACGAGTAATCGCTCGCTTGACATGCAAATCTCTTCTCGCATTCATGAATCAATATATTAAATAACATTTATATGTATCGTTCGATGTTGAGTTGATTAATAAACTCGAATTAAAAAAGAATTAAGAGATGTAGTCTATATATAATTTATTATGATACAATGGAAACATGAAAAAAAAATTATGCTAATTAAATTGAAATTATGGACCTTTTCAATTCAACTTTTTAAAATTCAAGCAATAAGAGAATGATTCGGACTTTCAATATTGTATTAGCAAATACATCGATGAGAGATTAATCAATATTTCAGTATATTATTCTGTTCTACATAGTGTGATTTTCTCGTTTCGAGACCGAGATATAAATTGGAATAACAGGTGCCGAACGTGATGATTCCTTGGTAATCCTTAATAATTTACGAGCAAGAGAGTACAAATCCGTGATTACTTGATGCCGCGGGCATTATTGCCACAGAAATAGACGTATAAATTCTTTCAGCGAAAGTTACACACATTTCTCCGGCGACCCGGCAGGCCAAAGAAAGAAAGTAGCAAGAAGAAGCGAGGTTCCACTTTTCCGGCTGCTGCGTATCAGCCAAATATTGTATCGATATACACTGTATCGATATACGAACGCACGTTTCTTATATTACTTTCTTTTATCTTTCCAGCGAGCAATGAGCAGCATGACAAAGACAGCCTAAACGAGACCGGAAGTACAACGGGTGGCACCGTGGAGGGCGCGCCGAGTGGTGGCCCCAGTAGGGGTGACAAGATCAAGGACAAGGAAGACCATGCATCCGCGCAGGCATCCACCTCGGCACCACCGACGAGATCCTTGGTCTCCAGAATCCTGGCGAGAGCACGGTCGCCCGAAGATCTACTAGATCATTCGGAACCCTAGTAAAATCTCATATATTTTCATCTCATTATACATATATCATTTACGGAGATTCTTTTCTTTATTGAAGCGTGTTTATTTTGTATGTAGGGGAGATCGGAGTCAGTTATATAATATAAGGATAAGCAGAATAATCGAGGCTACATTAAAAGAAAACATACGTAAACGTGTCTGAGCATGTAGCAGCGATTGTCGTTAAAGTTTACTATAACATGTTGCGAACACATTTATGATAGAAGTTATACTACAATTTTAAAAAATCGTACACCTAAGTAAATATTTTTATTCTTAAAGTTTTTGTTTTACAATCATATATGATTGTCTGAGATATTTGGTTTCTACTTAGATAGTAAGTAGAGATCTTACTTAATAAAGTCCAACAGATTTTTTTTGTTTGTGTCTTTGTTATATATCGTATATTGTTAATGTTTTTAAAAAATGAATAAATGGAGATAGTAGACTAACTACAGCATGGAATATGACTCATTTAGTGACGACTCTTATAGTATCTACTCAAAACTTTATTCCTTTAAAGAGATTTTCCTCAGTCGTAAATGTTATAAGTTTAGTTCTCTCATGTCCAAGCTCGAAAACTAGATTACTTATTCGACGTGTTTTTGCACGAAATGAAACAAATTTTGCAAAAAGAAGTATTGTTTTGTCCTACGAAGCGAATGTCTGTGTTTAAAATATATTTTTATAAAAGTTTTATTAGAGATGTAGCCAAAGATGTAGCTTAAAGTACATTAATCTTATTTTAATAATTTTAGTCAAATTACTCCGGTCTCGGGGTTAGTTGAATCAGATAGAATGCATTAGAAAAATGCATTTTTTTCATATTAATTATCAGTTTCCCCTTATTATTAAAATATTAAGTAGTCAAATGTATGTAGTAATGGTGTAGAATTCATTTTTTCGATAAGTCTCTTAATTTTGTCTGTAAAAATTCGAAACTCAAAAATGAGTCTATTAGCCCCGATCTCCCGTACTGAAAAATTTTACATTTGATTTCCTTTTTTGCTCTTATTTTCGTATATTAATTTAAGTACTATTAGAATAAAATGTAGCGATGATCTTAGGTAATACTTTGACTACATGCTTATCTTAGCAAGTAACTGTATTCAATACAGTAATTACATTAAATGTTACATTAAGTGTTATGTTTTTTGCTGACAATGAGTTCAACATTGAAAACTGATAATCGAAATCGAAAATATTTCTAAATATTAATTAAAGATATAAGACCTTTTTGAATATTTACAGTGCAAATGTAATTATTTACAAACAGCAAATAGACTATATATAGTACAGTCGATCTTATGCAATTCTCAAAGAGATTTTTGATTGTTAATTTTGAACTTATATTTTGTGTTACAGCTCGCAATTATGGATAGTTCTCTCCAACGTGTATGGCGAGTTGATCGTCGTGTTAACATTGGCGGTGTGCTTGGCCGAGGTCATGGACACGCCTGTACCTTTGCTCAGCTTGCAGGTACAAGTGATCGAACTTGTTTGACTGGATTTCATAAATAAGTCATCTTATCGCGGATACTGCATTTGCCAAGAAAGCGAGTGTGCTCTGGGATAACATGCAACGCATTCAAGTCTCGAAAGTAACGTTCGTGATGTCGGACTTAGAATTATCGTACCGTTACTTCACATAATCTGGGGAAAGTCTGTCGATTGGACAGCCTTGAACTAAAAACTCATCGATTCAGGATGTCTGCGGAAAATGCTAGGGTCCCATTGCAATGAATAATTAATTGCTCGTTTATATATATATATATATATATATATAAAATCACATAATATCCACAGTTCATAAAAAGTAGACTTCATTAAAAACATGCAAAAAAATTATCTATATCGTTTTGAAGTATCACGATGTAATTATTTTAAAAAATTTGCAATGTCATTTAAATTGATTTAATCTGAAGTTCAATTAATAAAATTTTTCATTTTATTCTAATATATTATATTTTATTTAGATTTACTAAGATCTTCCGTTAAAAAGATTAATATAATCTTTTATTTACGTAATTTTGAAGCACAATCTTGAAAATCATATCCTCGCTTTAATCTCTGAAAACATTTTTAATGCAAAAAATAAGAGACAATTGTGCATTATATACTGAGAATATTGCCGGAGTATTAGAACTACATACATAACAGGATTTATCAGGATTAAAACCACATAGCGGTTCAACATATATATATATATATATCGGAACTATGTCAAATAATCTCTACTGAAACGAGTATTTGTAAATGTGCACGTTACGAGATTACAAAGAGCTTTCATTTACATAAATTATAGATCAGGAAGAAACGTAGATGAAACGGTACAACGTCAACAAGTTTCAAGATAACTAGTTTGCTACGTTTATCAGTCCAATAACCTTTTCCGCGCGGGTGGTCCCCTCGTTCAAAGATACTCCTTCAAATCATATTCCTAGTATTTGTATTTTGCATAACGGGCCCGTTCCACTACACGAAGTAGTTACACAATTGTGTCTTTCAGGGAGTATTTCTCATGTACCTTTACGTGGGCAGCATCGCAGTGATCATTGGCATTTATATATGGGTACTGGTTGACAGCTGCGGCAGCTTAAGTCGAGGTGGTAATGGGCTCGGAGACGCGGAACTCGGTGGCGCATCACTTACCAGATTCGGATCATTAAAACGGGCACACATCTCCAGAGCTAGAACGGCGCCAACCAGTTTTTATATACGAGTCGGAGCGCTTTGTAAGAGATAGTGTTAATCCACTTAAAGAATACTGGCACGTAGTTTCTAAATTATTTGGTACTTTTATTCATCATGAAAATTCAACTTTAATAGTTGACGAAAATTTAATTCGGCGTTTGTTACAAATATAATTTTAAATTTTATTTATTTAGGATTCTTATTGTTGTTAGATTTTGCTCCGTTAGAAAATTATAAAGTAAATTTCTAATTATAAATTATCTAGCGTGTATGTTTTCAGTGTTCGGGCTGGCGACGCTGGTCTTCAACGGTTTAGAGATGGCGATGCACTCGATGATGCAGGGTGCCGAGTGCTTAACCGACGTCATCTTTGTGCATCCGGTGCTGCACGGCTTGTTCACCTTCTTGCAGATGCACTTTCTCTTTGTAAACTCGCAGGTAGACTAAGCATTAGTCTTACGTTAATTACATTACACCCAGTGCCGAGCTCGCGGCTAGACAATGCGTGAACGCGTTTCTTCGTTGCGCTCTGATGCGTTGACGGCTACGTATCACTAACATGATCATGTATCCGTTCGAATCTAAACGAAGGATTTTTAAAAGGATTTTTAAAGATTAAAGCTTTATTGTCTTTACGCTTTGTTTTTTAGGTACTCGTAGAACGCTTTGGTCTTGCAGCCAGATTTGGCTTCACACATCTTGCAGCTACAAATGTCGCGGTCTGGGCGCGTCTCGTGATTTGGGATACCGCGCAAGAATGGACTTATTTTGTACACTTGGCACAACACGAACAGCAAACATCTGTATCTCCCTTGAGTCTTCGAGGATTTCCGGGATCCTTGACAAGACAATCGCGGGATCTTATAGGTATAGATTTCATTCTTCTTACTTTGGCGAATAAGTTTTTCAAAAGTAATCATGCAATACTACTCATATATATATTCAAATTATGGATTAAATTTTTGGCCTCAAATGGATAGAAATACAAAATGTGCTATTCATCATGTTGAATTCGGATATATTCACGTCCATACTATATTATTTTTAGATTCAAATGGATTCGAAAAATCAAAAACGCGAATTCGGAAATGTCGAAATGAAATTTATTTCTATTCATTTCAAATTATTTTCGTTTGCCGGATGATCTATAATCGGGATCATCATCTTATTTCAGATGATTCTGTAGCAAAACCAAGTAACTTCAAGCCCTATCAACCTGTTTCGAACGAGCAAATCTCACAAGTAATTGCGTTACAAGAATGCTTGAACACTAATACCTTGGGACAGCTATGGACCTCAAGCATGCCTTTCTTATATCCTTTTATTGTACAATTTAGGTACGTTGTGAATGTACGCGGATGTATGTCACATTTATTGTTAATCAATTATGCATCAAGAAAAAATAATTAAAAGAAACAATATTTTCAAAAAGCGAGAGAATTCAAATTTAAAAATAAAATTTTTTTTTAATTTCCGATAAAAAAAGAAATTTCTTGAAAATTTCAGGTTTTCCAGTTTTTCCAAAATAAACTCTGTATAAATCTAAGTTTTTAATTAAATTTCAATATGAAACTTTTTATATTTTTTAGCTTTTTTATGGAAGTTGATCTTATTCCCTTAGAAGAACTCTCATAATATTTTCCTTTCAGCTTGATTGCCGCAGCGGTGACCTTCGTGATGGGTCAGAACGTTGGTCGGAGTAGATTGATTAAACAAAAATTCCACGGCAGCAAGGACTTAAATAGTCACACCAGAGTAGGTTGCGATGGTTCTAGCAAAGGCCTTTTTCTGGGTATTCTCTGCATGGTAGCTGGTATCGTGGTGATCCTCATCTTCCTCGTCGTACGAGAGGATGAAAACTTTCCCTCTGCCACATTGTCGTGGCTTACATGCGGCACTCTGATCGGCATACTAACGCTGAGTAGTCTGATGACAGCCAGTGGTCTCGTGCAGGTGCGTCAGATTTCGGTAGTGACACGAGCACCTGCCGCTCTGGACAGCCTTCTGTTAAACGTGTCGCTCTTCGGGGTGCAACTCTATTCCGTCTTCACCATCGTGGTATGCGCTTGTTCACTGGCCATGTCAGACGACGAGACAGAGGATACACGAGCTAGACACATCATGCTGCTGTCAATGTCAATCCTGCAGCTGGTACAGTGCTTCGCGCAGAGCACACTGATTGCCGAAACCTCACGACGTTCTTGCATAACACGCTTCCAAATGCTGGCAAAACCCGGTCGCCAAGTGATCACTTTCCTACTGTTCAGCAACGCCGTGCTCTGGGCCTTTGATACCGTAATCACGCAAAATTGGCTATCGCAAGAGCTACAGCTTCGATTCTTCGGCGTGCTCGTCTGGGGTGTACTGTCCAGGATCGGGCTGCCTCTTCTAATCTTCTACAGGTTCCACAGCTGCGTACTGCTACTGGAGGCATGGAACAAGTGCTACAGAATGCCACGGGGAGAACATCCTCTCAACTGACAACGTGGAATCTCACACCGACTCTCGTGCAGGTTCGTTGAAAGTAGTATATATTAGCAACAATTAAGGTTCTTGACTAGTCAGCACGGCCATATAGGATCGTGACATCATAAGTGAGAAATGAGACGTTGAAGTGTCTTATCATTATTGTAAATAAAAAGGAAATCTGAATAATAATGAGATCTTTAAAATAAACGATAAAAACATCTTTAAGTATTTAGAAAATGAAGACAAGAATAAAACATTTTAATATCATAAAATTAAACATTTCTTTTATATAGTTTCAATTTCAAGAAATTCTGATTGTTTTCAATTCGTGAATATACAAACTTAATTTAAAAAGGAAAAATTAATTAATTAAAATTTGATTTCTGTGCAACTTTTGAATAAAAATTAATATTATTTGATAAACTTAATGTCTCTTTTATTATGTTATTTATAAAATACATCATGTCAATAGACTGCATTCCGGCTTGCAAGAACCTTATCATCCCGGGAGATCAATGGACAATGAATATGTTTACAAGCGATTACTACGTCCAAATTCGCTGTCGTTGGATGCAATGCATCTTCTCCCTTATGTGGATACTGCAAGCTGGCTGTACCTGGATCCGAATCCCATTTTTTCCGTACGCCTACCGAGTCTGGATTGCGACGCATCGTTAACGTCCGAACAACATCGTCACCATCACCATCATTATCATTGTCATCACCGCCACCGCGGCTGCCAGAGGAGACATCGTCGAGTACTGAGTGATCCTGGAGGATGGAACACCGGTTTTCGAATGGACGCGACACGACACCGACGAGTACTTAGCAGTGCTGGTATCGATATTATGCGAGCGTCAATAGAGGAGGCCAATGAAGATAATCTATCGCTCGAAGAGGAGACAAGAGCGTCGACCTTCAGAAAAGTGCCATGGCACCCTAATTTGCATATGCTTAAAATTAGGAGAACGTAACGCAACTAAGTATACGATTGCAAGAAAGAACAAAAGCGAATGAATATCTTGAACAAATCTAAAAGAAATCTTGAAAAGATTGGAAGATCTAATCTTTCCAAAAAATTTTTAGAATCTTGTATCTATTATTTGAAGCTTAATTGTTATTAAGAAGTAAGCATATTAATTTCAAATTTATGATCGTTGTCATATTGTAAAGTTTTTTCTAGTAAATCTCTATATAATTCAAAATAAAATAATTCCATGATTATGATATTGCAACCTATTATAAATTTTAAGCATTATGAATATCGTTAAATTGATAATTTATACACGGTATACATTCGATACATTTATTGCATCATTTGCATCCCTGCACAATTACGACAGATTTTTATAAAAAATGCAAAAGATATTCCAAGAAAAAAATTTGGACTCAAAAACTGGTGGTGAATCATATTTATTGCTCCAATAATTAGAGATTTAATTTTATCTAATTTTTATTTAATTTTATCTGAAATAGAACGCTCTTTTGCAATGACCTCTGAGAATGCGATATACCGTTCGATTTCACGTGCAATATTTCTAGATTTTAAGTTCATGCTATAAATAATGTACAAATGTTCGTTATAGATGTACGTCGTAGACGATGATAACGACGATACATTCTGTCGTCTCTATCGCGAAAGCCATTAGAATTGTATCACATTCGAGAACGATGAGCGATGCAATGCTTTGTACTTTATTAATTAATGCTGAAAGAGTTGTAATTATTATTCGCGTATATTTTTGTACATATTTATTGCAAACATTTTATATATGGATCTGATACGATAACACACGAAATAGAATTCTTAGTAGAACTCCGTTTGTTACATCTATTTATAGGTAAGATTCTACTTATTATTGGATATAATCTAAGAAAAGTAATAAAATTTCTTATAATAGGTTTTCCCCTCATCCCCCTAACACCGTCTTCATACATTACTTCAAATAAGAGAAGATCATATTGATACATAATCAAAGTTAAACATGCATATATTTTTAAGTAATCTTATTATAATCTATAATTATATATCTTATATATATAATACAATGTATATATATATATATATAATATATAGTTACTCATATAGAAAACTATTCGATCTATTGTTAACGGGTTATGCAAGTTTTATCATTAATAAATACGCAGCCAGTATTCACTTTAATTATCTTGAAAAAAAAAGTATTCAAGATAAAATTTAAAAAATCTTAAAGTTTATATTCGTAAGATGATTATTTGTTCGCAAATAGATATTTTCGTATTCAAATTATTAATTATGATAAAGTAACAGAAAACTACCATCTCTAATGACTATTATATTTTGTAAAATTTTTAGTAAACGCTTAATTTGAGAAGTTTCTCTCTCAAAATATGATCGTGATAAATGGAGTTCTGCTTGCGGTGTCTAGTTAGAAAATTAGGTCGCATTATTTTGTTACCTTATAAGTACTCAACAGTTTATATCTATTTCGCGTACGAAAAAATAACATTATTTCGTGTCCAATGCTTCATTTTATATCAATGTACAAATATATTGCATTTTTTGGACGAACAAATAGCAAGGCAGTGCCGATTTAGTTAATTCTCTTTAAGTCGCGAAAAATATTAATCGAACTCTAAAACGATACGTTTTGTCACAGAAATGACACATTGGGTATGATATATTTAATATTCAATTTTAGTTCCTAACAACTTTCATAAAAATGAACACACTATAACAAATTTTTTCAATCGAAACGCCAAACATTAACAGTAACAAGCAAATGTATATAACTTTATTAATTAATAAAAAGAGGTATAACAACGGAAAGGGAATAGCAATTTTTAAAAACTATTTTTTACGATATTAAACAAAAGGATTATCAATGTGAATACACAACTAATAAGGAATAAAGCCTTTAACAGTCAAAACTGAATCATAAGTGCTTAAATAATTTGATGTGAATTTATACATTATCTATGTAATTGTTTTAAATTACGCCGAATTGATTTTTCAATCTTGAAATGCAAATCTGAAATTTATAGTAGTAAAATTTATAGTAGTAAAATTTATAGTAGTAAAATTAAATCCCAATATGAACTTTTGATTATTAAAAAATTTGCTCTTTTCTTACAAAAAAGGGCAATTCCGCCAGGTAGATTAGTTAACATTCAAAATTATAGAAATACTGATCTTTAAAAAAAAATGAGTATCATACTCAGCGTATCATTTTAGTGTTAGATAATTTAATGAGTAGTTTACTAAATTTTCTAGTTTTCTTTTTTAATAAATTCGCGATTAATTATATTATTAACAATGGCGATAAATAATATTATTAACGGCACTGATATAGAAATATTAAGCAAGATAAATGTTAAAAATTTCAATAATTATACGTAGATAATAGAATAAAAAAAAATACTTACATGTGTTATATCGATTTTGCGAATCGAATATATTTGATTTGTTTATGGCACGAAAAAACATACCTATCTGAAAAGCTGTTTGATAAGGCTAACATAGTACGATACAGGGGGCATTAAAGGTAATGAAATGCAACATACATATAATAAATTCATTTTTAAAAAAACCAAAGAGCGCTCTGTAATATATAACAAACTATATTGATTCATAGTAAAAGTTCCTTCGAAGATGTACAGTATATCACTGATGTATGTTGTTTGTGTGTATACGAGTTAAGGAAAAAGTTCGAACCGGTGAAATATCTTGAAAATCAAATATTAAAAAAAAAGATTTCAAAAAAAGATGCAAAAGTTGTAGAGTTTAAAATAATCTATAACTTTTGTATGAAATATTTTTTTAAAAAATGCTTTATTTTCGAGATATTTTACCGGTCCGGAATTTTTTCCTCACTCTGTATATGTCTATCTGGTTTTACATTTATACACACACACACACACACACACACACACACACACACACACACACACACACA